GGGGGTCGCTTCCACTGGAGAGACTCCACGGTAACTCTAGAAGTGTCATTAAATACTCAGTTCACCAAGGATGACCACCTCCATCGTCATAGGATGATGCAGCATCTGCATGATCGCGGTCTGCTGCCCCCTACTGATGGGGGTGGAGTGACAGGTGCGAAGTAGGCGTGGACTTTCATATTGGGTAAATGGGCCCCAAGTCTCTTGGTTCCAGCCCGTGTGACTTGCTGGCAGTCATAGAGTTCTATCCTCTCGAGACTGCGACAACTCTTCAAGCGCTCCAGGGACGCATCTGTGATTAGTGGGCAATTGTCCAGCTCAGTCACTTCCAGCTGGTCATGGGCGCCATTTCCCAGGTGACGAATTCCATCATCTGTGATCAGCTCACCGTGAGAAAGACTCAATACTTGAAGACCAGGTCAATGTATAGAAAGTTGGATTAATGTGCTGTCTGTTATCTGAACACATTCTTCCAGATCCATCTTTTCAAGTTCATGGCAATTCCTAGCCAGAGTGGTAAAGCCCATATCTGTTAACTGAGAATGTCTTGCCACTTCTAGTATTCTAAGCCGTGGGCAGTTCGGACCTAGAGCATCCAGGATGGTATCTGTGATGTTGGAGCAGCCAGAGGCACAGAGGGACTGTAACTTATGGTATCCTCGGCATATAGTAATGAGACCGTCATCAGTGGTTTGCAAGCAAGTCTGTAAGTTCAAAGTCATCAGTTCAGGCCAATGTGCACCTATGTACTTCTGAGCTTCATCTTCTGTGTGCAGCCTTTTAAGACTAAGGCCTTGAGACCCCCACATCCTCTCACTAGTGCTTGGATGCCATCCTTGGTTACTTGGTCACACCAGGAAATACTCAGTTGCTCCAACAGTGGCCATCCCTCACTCAGAGCTTTCAGAGACAGGTTTGTTTTGATGTACAGGAAGCCAAGTCAAGGTGAGCTTGGAAGAGAACTTGTGAAGGCTAGTACATGTGGCGTCTGTGTACATCTTTGTGCACCCGTTAAGACTCAGCACTTCAGTATTCCTACAGTTTTGTGCAAAAGTCCTTAATGCGCTGTCTGCAACTCTAAGACACCCACGAAGGCTCAACTTCCGCAAAAAGCCCCCAACTTCCGCAAAAAGCCACCACGTCTTTGTGAGATATTTCCCACTACTCGGCCCCCAATATCCCTCTGGAAATCAAACAGGTTAATTCGTTGCCAGTTACTGCCACTGAGAGCCAGAACATTCCAGGCTCTGGAGATCTGAGCACAGCGACACAAGGTTCCGACATCCAGAAAAGAGAAGATTTGTAATAGGAGTTCTTTGGGAAGTTTCTTATTGATTACAGCTTCATCGCTATTTGAAAACATCTCAAACCTGCCCTGGTCACTCCGTTCACGTCCCTCCTCATGGGGCCACCGGATGGAGTGCAAAGACAGGGGCCCAGGGCGGGCCCAGGAGCGCCGGGCCGGCTGGGAGGAGGCCTAGGAGGGCCAGGGCAGGGGCCGGAGGACTGGAAGGGAAGGCCGTTCGACTATGGCTTGGCCTCCGGTGCCGACTGCTCTTGGCTAGCTCTTCTCTTTCTCCCACTCCCAATTTTTAAATTCAGGTTTCATTAATCTGCCTGGGAATAGGTGAGGTCATCAATGAGGGTGAGGATGGGGACATGGATTGAGGATCCCACTGCTGTCACAGCTGTCTCCTGACATCCGCTATCCATGCCAGAGGTCTTTATGGTTTTCTCTACTGACTGGGGTCATTCATGCTAATCACCTTCTTCCAGGTGTTTTTTTGACTATTAGGATCTAGTTATTCGTTAAAAAATATAACACGTGTTATTCAGCCATTTTTTACTGAGTAAATTATATGCATGTATATGTGTATCTATATATGTATAAGTAGATATGTGTGTACATTTAATTACTTAGCTTTCCAGTAAAACTATATAGGACTACCTTGAGTAGATGTACCACTATTTTGATAGATACAGGAGCCCTAGTGGCTTGGTGCTTACGCATCAGGCTGCTAATTGAAAGGTAAGCAGTTAGAGACCACCAACTTTTCTGCGGGGGAAAGGAGGCTTTGAACTTCTGGAAGAGTTATAATCTCAGAAACCCAAAGGGGCAGTTCTACTCTGACCTATAGGATCACCGTGAATTGGCAGTGAGTTAAGTTGAGTTTTGGTATTGATGGATACACAACCACCCTCCATTTTTTTATATTATAAATAATGTCCAGCTACCTTCTTAAGGAATTTCCTTCATATGAATATAGAAAAACACTAGTTTAATGGCAGTAAAACTATTTTTTAAAAATTTGAGCCTCCCCTCTATTTGTTTCCTATATAGTTTATGTACTATTTCAATCAAAAATCTTTAAAACTCCTTGAGGGCCCCTATTCTTTTGCAGCTACACATCTAGCATGGTGACCAACTGAGAATATAAATTAAATATTTAAATTGAATGCTTCTGTTAATAATGAATTTGAGGTGAAATATTTTCTAAAAATGTCTCTTTATATCAATAGAATGCTGTTACAGGTAAGTTCTGTGATTCAGTAATGTGGCCACTATTATCCTTAATAGTGATCTTTTTCATAGCTTTATTTTATTCATTTTTATGATTATTAAAACATGCTGAATACATGTTATAGAAATCATAATGAGCAAAAAATAAGAAGTTTTGAAAAGCCGATATTAAGGGCTCAAGTGGAAGGCAAATGTTTTGAGAATGATGATAGCAACAAATGTACATATGTGCTTGACACAATGGATGGATGGATGAATTGTGATAAGAATTGTACGAGCCCCCAATACAATGATTTAAATTTTAATAAAAGTTTTGAAAAGAAACATATTCGTGATGGCGCTTGCCCCGACTTCCTGACGATGGCTCTTTTGATGTCCTTTCCTCTGTCGCCACGTTAGTCAGACTCCGACCGACTTCGAGATTTTAGGTAGTTTGGTCCTCAGTAAATGTCTCTTTTCCTGGCATCCTTTCTCATCCCCTTGGGCGTGTGGGCTGGTGGCCCCTAGAAGTAAGCTTTATGCCATGATGATGTCTTCGTCTCTCTCTCCTTTCCTAGTTCTCTTTGCCATGAAGGAAGACAATGAGAAGGTGCCTTCCTTGCTAACAGACTACATTTTAAAAGGTAAGGGCAGCCCCAGGCCTTCTGTCTTGCGGGACTTTCCCCGGGGATTTATGGTACCAGTGTTGAACTGAGACTTCCAAGAGCACCCATGTCAAGGCAGCTTGCGGGGAACTCAGTGGACAGTGTGAGCCCCACCCAGGGATGGCTTTTGCCCTTTTTTAGATAGTGCCAGGATGCCTGAAAAGGAGTCACCATTATGGCACGAGGAGAAACCAACCCAGGGGTGTACAAATGTGGCACAGTTTGGCCTATTTGGCTAAGAGAAAGCAAAACCCGAGGAAAACGTTAGTGCTTTTCAAATACTTGAGAGGAAACTGGAGTCATGAATAGCGCATTCTTTCATAACTTCTTTTTTTTTTTAAAAATTAAACCTTTTATTATGGAATACATGATCCCTAGGTATAGTAGTTTGCGTTGGAGTGCTAATCACAAATTTACCAATTGGAAACCAGCTGCACTCACCTAGAGAAGAAAGAGACTTTGCACACTGGTAACGAGTCGCAGACTCTGAAACCCTAGGGTAGTTCTACCCGGCCTCACAGGGTCACTATGGGTTGGAATCGACTCGATGGCAGTGAGTTTTGGAGTATGATGGAATCTTTTACCATATACAAAAAAGAAAGGTGAGTGGTGGAATGAACTCTCACATACTTATCATTGGCTTCAAAAATGGACTCATGCCAATTTTGTTTTATTTATAACCCCATGCAGTTTTTTCTCCTCTCCATATAGCATTGAAATCCTAGTCATTGTGCTTTTTAATACATACATATTTTAGCACACATTTCTTCAACGTTAGGATTCTCTAAGAAACACAACCACAATTCTGCCACCACAACCAAACAAATTGTTTCTTAATATCATTAAATATTCAGTGTTTAAATTTTCCCATACGTTTTTTTGGCTTAATCTGCCTCCAAAGATGGTATATACATTGCAATTGGATAATAAGGACTCTCTAGATGACCCTTTCCTCCTTCTTCCTCTCTTCTTCTTTGAAATTTATTTGCTTATCTCATAGAGTTTCCTCAATCTGGATTTTGCTAATTGCATCTTGCTAACTGGGAAATCTATAAGTTTGCTTAGATTCAGCTTCAGATATATTGAGGAAAAAGCACAATGTGACTCGGATGCTGTCTGGCTGTCTTTCATTTTGTGATGTGAATGATCGTTGCTGAGCATTCCCTTCCCGGACTCCTTAGTCTATCGGGTTTGGCTTCACACCTACATAAAGCTTTGGATAACTGCAGAAGGTTGGTGGAGCTCAGCCTAAATCCCCTTGAGCTGCATGTGGGAGCTGCCAAAAGTCTATATAAAAATAAAATCAAAAGATAATGAAACATTTTCAGGAACTTTCTGAAACCCCCTTATGTTGTTTCCATACAGATCAGAGAAATTAATCTTCTTTTCAGCAGAAGAATTTAGATGAAACAGTGGCCAAAAAAAAAAAAGGAAAAAGGAACTCTTAAAAGCTTTTAAAAATAGACAAATTTCCCAAAGGAGAATTTCAAAGGAGCCTTACGAAAGCCTAAGAGTCTGAAGGCTAGACTTTATTCTTTATGATCCACTGAAGTGCCAATGCATTCATACATAATTCTTAACATTTATCGAGCACTTTCTACGTGCCCCTCAGCAACCTTTTAAGGTCAAAGGCAGGCACTTGTGTGTGTGTGTGTGTGTGTGTGTGTGTGTAGACAAAGAAGTAAACACAGCTGGCTAAGGAATTCCTGGAAGTCAGAGAGTGATTCGTGGTCAGATCTGAACCCCGAGACTGCTCACTTAATCTTTACATGGAACAACCCACCTTTCGTTGTTTTTTTTTCCTCCTGGAACTAAGACCTGACTGCATACTTCCCCCGGCTGGGCGGGACCGTTCTCTGCTCAGAATACTGGAGAGAAGCCACGTGCTCTCTGCCAAGGCCACCCTGGGCTGACAGCTGCTGACCCATGCTGTGCCCTGACCTCTCTCCTCTCTTCTCTTTTCAGTGCTCTGTCCCACCTAATCTTGCTCTTTGGAGCTGCCTTGCTGCAGGAGGTCGCCAAGCAAGTCATTCCACCACAGGGATTGCATGACACCATGTAATTGCCAATGTGTATTTAAACCTGTATAGCTTAACCTGGGTTCAACTTGAGCAGCACGGGGCCCTTAGCTGTTGGCTTCTAGTCCTAGTAACCATTGGATGCATGACCGTGGGGCGGGGCTGGTGATGGAGCCCCCTCTCTTTCTATGTTGGAGGAGGGCAGATGTTTTCACCACTCACTATGTAGTACGGCTCCAGCCTTTAAACCCAGCTTACCCTCTAAGACTAATTTTGAAATAAACCTCCATTTAATTAACATGTGTCATGTGTTGGAGTGTGGTGTCCGTTGGCCCTCTGTTCCAACCCCTCTAGAGAAAGAACATGGAGCTGCACTCATAGGAGGTCATGTGGCCTCTGGAAACCTGGACATGGTTAGGACCAGGAGCATGCCCTGCTGTGGGTTGCTATGGTCCCTGGGGGATGCAGTGGGGCTGTATGTGTTATAGGAAGCAGGAGGAACCATCCCCAGAACATTAGAGCTACACGCTGCAGTGCCAGAATTAGCTTGTTGCAGGCTGCCACACTTGTTGGGGAGGCTGTAAATTCAGCAGACATGGCATCCCTACATGGAGGGTTTGAGGTTTGGGGGCTGGAAGAGACCAGTTGTGCTGAACTCCCCCCAACATGGGTGTTGCTGCTCCTTTCCTCCCCTTAGAGACCCCTTCATGCCCTGGCTGTCCCAAAGAACCCCCTGAAACCGTGTCCTTTGACCTTGCATGCCCTCCCTGCAGGTCCCAAATTCCAGCAGCTCTGGCCCCTCTGTCCTGCCCCAAGTATATGGCAGGCAGTGAGCAGATAGAACTTGTATCTTGGATACTGACTTGATTTTGTCACAACCCAAATTCTGTTGTCTTCTACCTCTGTATTAGTCTAGGTACTTTGGAGAAACAAATCCACAGCGACTCATGTATAAGGGAGAGTTTTATGTAAAGAAAATGTGCATCATGAAAACATCCCAACCCAATGCTGCCCAAGCCCACAAGTCCAACATTAACCCATTAACCCAACACCAGTCCACAAAGTCTTCCACCTCACAAAACAGAGGCAATGATGCCGACTGCAGGAGGAAAGCTGAGTCAGTGAACGAACAAGCATCTCAGCACTAGCAGGGGTCTCCACACGGCTGCTCCAGCACCCAGGGCTGCATCGGGATAGGTCCATGTAGCTTCTCCTTGGGGATGTCTTGTAGGAAGTCAATCTTGCAAGCTGAAGCAGGGAACTGCTAAGGCAGCTGCACCCTGGTGCAACCATCACAAAACAAGAGACCCGAGAACTAGAAAGGCGAGGCTCACCACCCATTTATCCCTCCGCCTTTCAATTAGCCCCACATGTGATTATTGGCCAGGCTGGCACAATGAACTAACTCAACCTCTGACTTGGATGGACTAATTCTGCCAATCCCCATAGTCCCTATCGTAAAACAAAAATTGTTTACTGAGCACTAGTTATGTGCCTAATTACTCTCTTTATGTTATCTCGCATCACAGCAACCCCACAGTGTATAGTGACATACCTTTGAATCAACACTGTATGTCAGACTAGAACTGTGCTCCATAGGATTTTCAGTGACTGATTTCAGAAGTAGATCACTAGATGTTCCTTCTGAGATGTTTCTGGGTGGACTCAAACATCCGACCTTTTGGTTAGAAGCCAACCATTTGTATCATTCAGGGAGATCTGTAAGTACTAGCAGTGTCCCATTTTGCTGCCAAGGAAACTTAGAGGTGGCTAGCAAAGGCCACAAAGTGGTAGTCAGACTGTCACTTAGGGAACTTATCTAATGAAACTTAGACTGAGTCTAAAGAGTTTAATGATCGTTTTGACCGAACATGCGGCCAGAAAAGCCAGGCTTTATTACATTGGAAACTCCGCAGGTGGTCCAATGGAAGTGAGACAGGAAGAGCCGGTTATCAACTGTGTCCCTGGTGCTGGCCACTTATTCTTGGGCCTCTGCTTTGCTGGGAGGAGTCCTACAGAGCCGGAGCAGTCTCGCCTTGCAGTGAAGACGGCCAGCCCCAACAAGGAAGACTGCTCACTGCCTAGAGCTCTTGCTCAGCAATCCCCAGTGCAGAGCATCTGTGTCAATCGGGAGTCTTAAGGAACATAGAAACAACCCTCAGGTGCCACTCTCAGATTCAGCAAATTGGCATACACCTCGTCTCTGACAAAAGCGGCGACTTACATTTTGTAGTTCATTGCCAAGAAGGCTGTAGGGGCAAAGGGTTATGGGTAGTGAGGTCATTAGCAAGGTTGGCATTTTGCCAGGTATGAGGTTTTAACACATTTCAGCAATGGGAAAGCAATGCATCCTGACAAAGCTTGCCTTCCTGTCTTGGGTTTGTCAGATCTGGGTCAGCCCTCCTCTCCTGCTAGCAGGTGTCTGAAGCAGCAAATACAAGCCAATCAAAGTCACTGGCAGTTAAAAATATATCTCAAGTGTCAAAGATACGCTCAAGAAAGGAAGTGAGCAGGGAAGGGTGAGAACTGGGGCCCCTCTTTCCTCCCTCCACTGGGCCACAGCAGGGATCCCCAGGGATATGAAAACCCTTTCCTCCTGGGATCGCTTCACCTCGCCCTCCAGCCTCCTCAGACTGCCACCGCCAACAGTGGAGAGATCGGAATCTCCATTTTAATAAGATCTCCGGGTGATTGATTGATGTCTGCTTTTAGGTTTGGCACGCTTTGTCTAGCTTTTCAGAAGTGTTTGCGCCCTGATTCTTCAGACTGAACTTGAGGAACAGATGTATAGTGCCTTTAACAGGCGCCTCCAACTCAGTTCTTCCATCCGGTGAGATAATTCAGGTTCCAGTCAGCCTGAACTGTTCCACCTCTATCTAGGATGGTCACACTTAGCCAAGGGTCTATGGAGAGAAGGTAAGGTCTTCAAGCTGATGTCTAGGGAGGTAGGTCTGTCTGGCTAGTGGTACTATAACTAAGGTAGGTCCCATCAATTAAAGGAGGCCTAGGGGCAATGTGGGGGGTGCTAACTGCAAGATTAGTGGTTCAAACTCATCAGCCCCTCCAAGAGAGAAAGATGAGGCTATCTCCCCTCTTAAAGATTTGCTGAGATGCTTACAATGCCACTGGAGCCAAAGACTTTCTACCCACGGGCCTGTGATCATCCTGCATTTGGTGTCATTGCATGTGTTTCATGAGTCTGAAGAGGGCTTTATAGATTGTTATTGGACATATGGGCTAATATCGGACTTCTGGGCTTGGACTGGACTGGCATGCTTTCTGGTGATCTGCTTCTAAAAAGTCAACTATTGAGCACAGTTCTAGTTTGACAAGCATGGGATTTCCATGAGTTTGAACTCACTTGTTGGCAACTGTTTTTTCATTCAAGATCTGCCAACAAAGCTGCCCAAAGGACTTTTGTTTGTATAGAATTAAAGCAAATTATCATGTGAAGACACACTACCTTCGAAATAGAATCCCCCGGGGAGGAGACGAGCCAGTCAGGGTGCAGTATAGCCCCAAGGAAACATACAACTTTAGTTTTTTAATGCTTCCTTCCCTCCCACTATCATGATCCCAATTCTACCTTACTAATCCAGCTAGACCAGCGAATGTACACTGGTACAAATAGGAACTGGAAACACAGGGAATCAAGGAGAGATAAACCCCTCAGGACCAATAATGAGAGTATCGATACAAGGAGGGTAAGGGAAAGATGGGGGGAGAAAGGGGGAACCGATCACAGTGATCTACATATAACCCCCTCCCTGGGGTATGGACAACAGAAAAGTGGGTGAAAGGAGACATTGATCAGTGTGAGACATGAAAAAATAATACTAATTTATAAATTATCAAGGCTTCATGACGGAGGGTGCTGGGGAGGGAGGGGGAAAATGAGCTGATACCAAGGGCTCAAGTAGAAAGAAAATGTTTTGAGAATGATGATGGTAGCAAATGTAAAAATGTGCTTGACACACAATAGATGGATGGATGGATGGATTGTGATAATAGTTGTACAAGTCCCCACTAAAATGAGTTAAACAGAAAACCCCAAGTAGAATCCCTCCACATTCCCTGTCATTTTACCACTGTTTCCAGTTGGGGCCAGATGTGACATGGGAAGCCCAAAGGGAAAGTTTCTGCGGCTCTAGTTAAAGTGTGTGGGACATGTTGGAGTTGTCAAATTAAATAAACTTTTTCATACTCAATGGAAAAATAATATATGGAGTATCACTCCCATCGAGATGGGAACTGTCAATAAGAAGGTGCTATTCCCTAATTATCTTAAAGCGAGTTATAAACCAGGTCCTTAGGGATGTCCGATGTCCTTCCACGAGCATCTATTGTAGCACATACTTCCAACACGCCTGTCCCCTGAGAGCTACCTGGGTCTCCCCACAGCAGGGAGTGCCCCAGGGGGCCCAGCTTTCCTTGAGGCAGAAATTAGAGGAGAGGAGAGGCTGCTCCCGGTCTACAGAAGCCAGGAGAGCTGACTCTTATCACTGAGCCAGCCTCGTGATTAGCATGCACAGACCTGAGAGTAATTAAGTGTTATTCTTGAAGAAGAAATATTCATGTTCAGATGGCAGCTGATTATTTATTTCCCTGACACGATGAGAGGAGAGCAATTAGGAGTTCTGTCTGGGGGCTTCTGTGGGGAAAGGAACAGAGACCACTCTGCTGACCAAGAAGGAGCTTCGACTTCATAGTAACGCCTCTCTTGTCAAAGACCAACAAGCTACCTTAACCCCGCAGCCTAGGAGCTCTGCCCTCCACCCCCAAGACCTCATGCATATGCAGCCTGCTCTGAAGAAGGAAACGGAATATGCAAATTGTTGGCATTTTGATAAAAGCTTTGTCTGAAACCCCAAAGCCAAGGGCACTCCTGTGTCTGCCCTCTCTTGCTCTTCACCCCTTGCCCCCTCTTCCCTCTCCCTCCTTGCTTCCTTCCTCAGCTATCTTGCTTTCTCTCTCTCTCTCTCTCTCTCTC